CTCGGTACATTATTTCATACTGACGTCCCTTTTCCGGGGACGCTGCATTTCATGCATGCAGGTGCAGATAGACAGACGAGTAGACCTCCTCAGTAGGTGTTTCCAGACTTTATCCTGATCGGTAAGCTCCATGCATGCAGGTGCAGGTGCATGTGTGCATCTTATGTATGTAATTATATATATAATATGGGTAGGTCGGGGCCCTGTTCCGATCACAATATATCTATCAGTAGAGGCTTGCAGACATATCCTGTTGGTTAGTCCAATATGTTGGGTTTGTAGGCCTGGTATGTATAATTTGGTGGTTTGTCAGCTGTAGTAGCTATGACGGCCTTTTCGGCCTAGTTTTATATTGATGTTTAGTTATCGCTAGTTTCCATTCAGTTTTATATTTTGCTTCACAAATTGTCTTGCAAGGTGGCCGGGGCACTAAAGTATGACATTATATGTTCAGAGTCCCTTAGTCGCAATTTGGTACGCCAGGTTAGGTGAGGCACCGGGTGCTTGTCTCGCTCCTAGGTTCGGGGCGTGACAGTACATCTCTATGCATACATGTCAATATACATGTCAAGTCATCAATTATCATATACCATCTAGCATGAGGAATATACATATCTATGGCTACATGTCAAATATTAATGTCAAATCATCAATGTCACATTACCGGCTACCATGAGGAAAATGCATCTCTATGCCTACATGTTAAGTATGCATGTCCAATAAATGATTTCATGGTGATATTCCTAGTTACTCTCACCCTCGACATACTCATGTTGTTTGTCTCAGATGCTCAATTCATCACACACACAAAATTATTCAGCACTGTACGGGTGCTAGGCATCAATGCCTCTCACCAAAGCACGTGTATATATATCACTATGCCTTCGCTCACTACTGGTATATCAAACTTCGGAGGGGCGGATCCTACCCTAGTGCTAATCAAAAGCTAATATGTCCTACTGCAGTGTGCAACCCGATCTACCATAATAATAAAGCCAATAAGGCATGCTGCAACGTGCAGCCCAATCCACAATAATAATAAAGCCAATATGGCCTACTACGGAGTGCAATCCGATCCCCAAAAAACACTCAACGCGACTCTAAAACCTATCTCAATCATCAACCTCTCAAGTCTCAAGGGCTCGCTATCTCATACCACTCAGCCCAATAACTCTAAATGTTGAAAAACAATAATAACATGCGATGTAACAATGAATGATGAACAATGACTGAGTGTATAATTATAGTTAAATCAGATAACTCAAAATAATAGAAATAGCCTTATCAAGTCTCAACCGAATAAGTGCATAGCCTAAACATAATTTCTAACATGAAACACAAATTAGGTAATCAAACAAGTAGGGGGAAACACAGATATAACAGGATATCATAACAGAACAAGTTTGGTCAACTTGAATCATGATTACCCCGGTCCACGCCCGCACGCCCGTCACTTAGTATGTGTGTCACCTCAACACATCTCAAATAACATGGTTCCTAGGGATAATTACCCTCTATTCCAAGTTTCAAAATGTTACTTACCTCAAACAAGTACAATACAATACCGAGCAAACCAAATAATATTCTAGAAATTCCATCCTGTGCAAATCAACCTCAGAACGGCTCGAAACTAGCCAAAAGCAACTCGAAACATCAAATAATGCCAAAGGGAGCAAACTCAAACGATAAAGGTCGAATCTTTAAACAAATACTCAAAGTAAACCAAAAAGGCAACCCCGACCCGCATCTTGATACACAAAAAGCTCATAAATTCTGATAACTCATTCGAATGCGAGTCTAACCATATAAGTTTCATCCAAATCTGACCTCAATTTCATGTTCAAAACCCCAAAATTCATTCTCTTAAGTTCAAGTAAAAAACCCCCAGTTTCTTTTCTTGAAATCCCTGATTTAGGTATAATAATCCATGTAAAAACAAAATATATAATCAAAAGAAAGATAAAATTACTTACCCACATGATTTGGTTGTTTATCTCCTCCAAAATCGCCTTACTTGTGCTCCAGGAACTCAAACAGTTGACAAAATAAACTCAAAATCCCGAAATTGAAAGTTTTAATGCACTGCAAATCGACCTTCTTTGTGATCGCGGTCACAAACCTCGCAATAACGATTCCAAAAATGTAATGCACAATTTTAACCCTTTGCGATCGCTGCCATTTCCCCGCGATTGCGATGAACAAACTCCATTACCTTCCAAAACTCTTTCCAGACAGCCTGTAGTATAATAGCCATAACCTTTTTTTACAAAATAACAAATGACAAATGGTTTGCTTTTCTGATAACTAGACACAAATAACTACAACTTTCATTTTGGATCACCTCCAAATTTCTTATCTATTGCATGAAATAATCGTCCAAAGTCAGTCATATGATAGCAAATATTCTTCTACGCGATCGCGAGAAGAATGCGAAGACATTCCGGTGCGGACTCGTTCGTTCTCAAGATATTCAGGGCCGGCTACTATTGGCCCCAGATGGAACAGGATGCGAAGCCATTCGTACAAAAATGCAACAAGTGTCAACACCATGCACAATTAGTGCAGCAACAAGCGGAACTTCTGTATTCGGTAGTGTCACCATGGCCGTTCATGAAATGGGGGATGGACATAGTTAGTCCCTTACAACAAGGGCCCGGCAAGGTATGGTTTCTTTTGGTTTTAACTAATTATTTTACTAAATGGGTTGAAGCAGGCCCTTACCAAAAGATCGGGGAATGTGAAGTGGTTGACTTCATATGGGACCACATAATTTGTCGGTTCGGATTACCAAAGGAGATCGATTGTGACAATGGGCCAAAGTTTGTAGGTTCTAAAGTCACAAAGGTTTTGGAAGAATTAATGATCAAGCGAATTGCGTCTTATCCATATTACCCGAGTGCTAATGGACATGATGAGTCAACCAACAAGGTAATTATCCAAAACATTAAAAATAAGTTAGAAGATGCTAAAGGCAAGCGGCTGGATGAGCTACCGTGTCTTCTATGGGCTTATCGGACCACAACAAAATCAAGCACGGGAGAGACTCCCTTTTTGCTCGTGTACGAATCAGAAGCTTTAATACCGGTAGAAGTGGGGGAACCAACCCTGCGGTTTTCCCAAGCAAATGAAGAAGAAAACAAGTAAGCATTGCTAGTCATGCTAGATTTGCTTGAAGAGCACCGAGATCTGGCATATGTGAGGATGGTGGCGCAAAACCAAAGGATGGAAAGGTGTTGTGATCGTAAGGAAAATCTACGATATTTCAAAGTAGGGGATTTTTTTCTATGGAAAGTCAATCATATTACCCGATAGGTCAACATCGGGACGCTGGGATCGACATGGGAAAGACGATACCGGGTTTTAGCTATAACCGGCAAAGGTTCATACGAGTTGGAAAATCAAGATGGAGTTAAAATGCCAAGCAATTTGAACATGACTCACCTCAAAATGTATTATTGTTGAATATAATTGCTAATACTGAAAGTATGTGCTGCACTCTTTTTCCCTTCGACCAATTTTTGTCCCAATCGGGTTTTTCTAGCAAGGTTTTTAATGAGGCAGCAATGTAAAGCATACTACGAAGGAAGGATCATCGGTAAACTTACCAAAAGCTCGGTGTGGATCGACTCATATGGCAAGCAACATGTGGATGGTTAGAAAATCTTTGGCACGATAGTATAACTCGTCTCCCAAGAGTCTCATCGGCCTCCGGTAACAAATTTTTTACCCATCCGCAAGTTGTTTCCATTAATGAAGAAGCAACATAAAATCTTGCTATGAAAAGAACATCATCGATGAATGCAAGACCTCCAGTGTTCGAATTCTCATGCTTAGCATCCGAACATTTGGAGGGGGGAATAATTCATGACAAGACACTGAAAGTGTTACAAGAATCGGGGACTGTTAGAGCCAGGGTCAAGTCAGGACCGGGGACTGCATGATCAACTCTGTAGCAATAAGTTGTATAAGTTAGCCACATGTATTGGCAGCTTTATTTACTTAAGTAGATAATTTTCTTATGTAAGTGTACCTTTAAAGATACAAGGAATAAATAAAAGTAATTTTGTTTTTATCTTATTTCTTGTCCGAATGATAAGTTAATTTATTTTACCAATTGAGAGATAACAAAAACTTCAAATGATTGTACCGGAATGAACATGAGACGTCCTCTTCAAGAGCACAATAAACATAAGGTCCCTCTCTCATGAAACCCACACAGTAAAGGGTAGATTCTGAAAGTGTTTATGCCTTGAATCAATAGCTTTCGTATGTAGGAATATTTCCGAGGCTTTGTCAATTAAATCGAAGAGAATATTTTTTGCACAACACTAATGCAAAATGTTTATTTTATTAATTAAAGCACCAAACATAGTAAGATGTTTTGGCATAATTACAAAAGGTACAAGAAAAAAATAAGACATCATTATTTGCTGCCAGAACCTGAAGGGAGAGAAGGGTCTTCATTTTCCCTAGTGGAAGAAGGCTATTCCGCTGCCGGTTTAGGGCCTTCCTCTTCTTCACTTTCCACTTCAGATACCGAACACTCAGCATTACTATTCGAGGACTCAGGTTCAACGGGCCGAGAAGGAAGGTTCTCCGAGCGGTTATCTCCAGTTCCTGGGACTTGACAATGCCGTCATCGATGTTGGCAATGCCTTCTTTGTCCTCCTCCAAAGTCTTTCTCTTCATATGATACATGGAGTATTTTTTATCGAGGGCGAGGGAATATTTTTGATCCTGGATTTTAGCTTGGAGCTTATCCATTTTGGCTTGGAGCTCTTCATTTTCAGCCTTCATTGCGCTTATTTGTGAATCAAGCTCAACGTTGGTGGTTGAGTGAAGCCGGTTATGCTGCATGACTCTCTTGAGTCTTTATTTTATTTTGGCTCTTCTCTCCTCGTCAACTTTAGCCTCATCAGTATTGGCATGTATACCAGTCTCTAAGTTATTAACTTGTTCCCTGAAGGTAGACTCACGCTCGGCAGCAGCAGTCATAGTATCATGAATCTCAACCCACTTAGCCTTTTCTTCCTTAAGGTTCTCATGTAGCTAGGCGGATTCTTGGGTATGAGCCATCTTATCTTGTTCAAATTACTACAGTCGAGTTTCGAGCTCGTCCATTTGAGTGATTTTGGCCTCCAGCACCAGAATGCGCTCAACGAGCTGATTCATCTCAGCTAAAACTTGCTCTCGTTTTGAAGCAAGCTCTTGCTTGTCTAGAATCAACCTTTGTAGGACCTCAGAGGCAAGAAGGTTTTCCTAAAAAAAGGGATAAAATGAAAGTTATGAATTTGAAATGTAAATTGAAAGAAGATAGAAAGAAGTGAGATTGCTACTTGCTTTTAACAATGCATGTTGTTATTTATTAGGCACTCCCCTGAATAGGAGTCCATCTTTTTCCAGTCCTTCGCTGAAGCCAGCGACTTCAGATAGTTGGCGAGATCTACCGGCTTGGAAAGAAAATGGCACCCACTCAAGACTGAGGGAACAACACTTCTTCTTCTATGGGGGATCTTGAGGTGGAGCCGAGTAAGTACTTCCCAGATTTGCGTGATTAGGAGACTATGGGGGAAAGGCATCATCTTCTTTTTCGACTGATGCCTGTGATGGAAAATCAATTGATGTTGTGGAGAAGGAACAGCTTGTGCAGATGAGGAAGAAACATCTGGTGTAGAAGGCGTGGCAATTGTGGTTGGCTCAATAGTCGGTGCCAGAGGAAGGTCAGGGGCCAAACTCCTCAGACTGGGGACATCGGAGGGGATTGGAAAGTGGGAATCGACATTATTAACCAAACCCATTTCTCCCCAGAGCGCTTGACTGTCACGACCCCAAACTCCCTCCGTAGGATATCGTGATGGCACCTAGTCTCTAAGACTAGGCAAGCCAATTACTATAACAATTAAGCCAGTTATTAACTATGATAATTTAAAACATAGTTTAATATGAATACCGATACAAGAGCAAAACGAGCCTACACGGCAATAATCATAACAACCTCCCAGGACTGGTAATACAGAGTCACGAACTCTAGCTGAATACATGGAATGATCTTCAAGGATCGAAATACAATACTGTTCAAATGACAAAATGACAGTACAATGTAAGAAAAGGACTCTAAGGGGCTGCGATGATCAAGCAGCTCTACCTTGAATCCTCGCGATCAACAAGCTAACTCTGTCCGGGTTCGATATTTCCAATACATGGCTCTACACACAAATGTACAGAAGTATAGTATGAGTACACCACAGTCGGTACCCAGTAAGTTTCAAGACTAACCTCGGTGGAGTAGTGACGAGGTACAAGTCAAGACACTCACTAGAAAAAATAACCTGTACAATATAGAAGTATAAGGCTAATAATGGAAAGCAGAAATTAGTTTGGGCAAACCCTCGAATTATAACCATTATGTTAGAGATTCTGATTTTGCGGTCACAAGGTCGCATCTGCAACGGAAGCTTCTACGGCAAATAATCCGCTTCTGCGGAAATGCCTCGCCTCAGCCAAAGTCGCTTCTGTGACAAGGAATGCGCTTCTGCGCTCGCGCCTCTACGCTAAGAGTTCCGCTTATGTGGCAGCGTAGATGTGCCCAAACATCTGCTTCTGTGGCTTTCTCATCCATCTTTGCTTCCGCTTTTGCGCCCCTTATCTTCCGCACCTGTGCCTAGTGGTCCGCAGGTGCGACAACACCAGATCCTGCCCAAACCAGCTTCACTCAACATGATCCAAATGATATGAAACCTGTCCGAAACACACCTGTGGCCCCGTCTAAATATACCAACAACTTCCATATCATAACGCAGACCTACTCGAGGCCTCCAATCACATAAAGCAACGTTAAAACTACAAATCGCACCTCAAATAAAAATTAATGAACTTATGAACTTTCAACTTCTACAACTCGCACCAAAACATATTTAATCAGCTTAGAATGACATCAAATTTTGCATGCAAGTCACAAATGACATAACCAAGCTATTACAACTCTCGGAGTCGAAACCTGAACCCTATATACATAAGTCATAATACATGATACGAATTATTCTTCTAAAATAAGCCCGGAACTTTCACTTAAGCTTCTAAAATAAGAATTATTCTTCTAACTCAATCCCGAATCAACCGAAAATCGAACTCGACCACACACGCAAGTCATAATACATCATACGAAGTTGCTCGAGACCTTAAGCCATCAAACGGGATGCTAATTCTCAAAACGACTGGTCGGATCGTTACACTGACTTTCCTGTGACGATGGATTTTGAAGCTTTACCGGCTGAGCACTTGGTTGAGCTGATGAAGATTTTTTCTTCTTTGAAGAGGGTCGCCTTCATCATTAGCCCCTCCTTCATCATCAATAAACACCATGACTAGTTCAGTTGATGATCTTCTCATTGTGTTCTTATGAGCCCCAGTCGAGGAGGTATGCTTCTTCTTTGGTTTCTTGCTTTTAGACTAGGGACTCCGAGAGGAGACACCCTCACCGGAGGCTTGAGCAGATCCGCGACCCTGCTCCCGCTATGCATACTTTTCAATACCTATTCAGCTTCCTTGGGGTCAGCGAGGGCCTTGTCATCGGGCCATACGACGGAACCCTTCGGAAGTCCTGTGTGGCATAAAAGAACAGTTAAAATATTGCTCCTAAGTTGTTGAGATTGATATAAAGAAGAATATTTTTTCATACCCTGGTTCATGTCTCTCCACCCGTATTTGGGATCTATCTCTTTCCATGGACGGGATTCTGGCGTAGTAATATCGAGAATTTTCTGTACCCATCGGTCCAGGCCTTGAACCCGTGGTGGTTCCCAGTGAGTAGTTGGAACAAAGAAAATAAAATGTCAGTTAAGGAGAAAGTTTTTTCACGAAGAAAGGAAACAAATATACAAAGACTTATGAAAATAGATCCATGATTCGGGAAAAGTTGGCATTGTGGCCAGGATGATGTCCCTGGTAGCAATAACAACAAACCGTTCCATCCATCCACAGTCGTTGTTGTCGTCAACAATGGTAAGAAAGGCATGATGACCACGCTTCTTGAGATTCAGCACACCCTCACAAAATATCTTTGGGGATTAAAGGTTCATCATATGTTAGGGTTTCCCCACTTTCACCGCATAGTTAGCGAAGGTAGGCCACTGTAGACTATGTGG